GTTCAACATGGCTGCCGCAGGCGGCTGAACGTTTGGAGTCAGCTCAGTTCAACATGGCTGCCGCAGGTGGCTGAACTGAAACGACTGTAGTTTTAAAGAGGATGAGATAAAATGGGTGTGGTAGTAGCTGAGAGTCGTTCCAACACACTCTGGCGGGTCACATTCCTTCCAGGACCTTTAATATTCTGTATGTTCACGTTCACTCCACTGTCATCCATTTCTCTTCTGTACGTTTGTCGGTGCGATTCCTGTCCTGCAGTTTTCAGTCGTTTCAACAAAACATTCGGCTCTTTCAGGACAGTCCTGCTATGACTGGGGGTATTGGTGCAACTTTAGCTTTTTGAAATATTTAGCCTTTTCTGACATTTCTGTTCTCATAGAAGATTAACGAGTTCATTTTACCTCCTTCAAATCTTTACATCTGTTTACAAACTTCTACTGCTCCTTTCACATTCTGTTCTGCTTCAGCTGCTTTCAGCTTCCTCATGTAAATTTAATTTTTTTTCAGCCACTTTCAGCTGATTTCAGCTGTTTTTCAACTGTTTTGTGCTCCTTTCAGATTCTTTCTGCTAACTACAACATTTTTGTGCTTCTTCTAATTTATTTCTGCTAATTTCAGCTTGTTGTGCTCGTTTCAGCTTATTTCTGCAAGTTGCAGCTACTTCTGCTACTATTTAGCAGTTTTTATGCTAATTTTAGCTTTTTCAGCTAATTCCACATTTTTCCACTCATTTAATTTTTTTTCAGCCTAATTCAGCAAAAAGTGCTCTCTCCACCTCCTTCTGGTAATTTAAGCTTCTTTCTGCTGTTTTAGCTACTTTTAAGCTGTGTTTTTTTGTTTGTTGATCTTTTTTTTTCAGGTAATTTCCACTTTTTTCTCATTTCTGCTTCTTTCAGCAAACGTTCTTTCTGCTTTCTTCTGCTAATGTAGGCTTGTTCTTTAATTTCAGCTACATTATAGCATGTTTTCAGCTAATTTCAGCTGTTTTTCAGCAAGTTCTTCAGCAGTCAGCATTCACACTGCATTTTGGCAGGAAATGCAGTTCCTCTAATTAAAAATGTTTCACCTTGAAGTCCAGGTATCTCTTCACGATGCTCAGAGTCACGTATTCCTCCGCCGAGAGTCCAGGAAGCTCCAGAAAACCTGAAAGTTTAAAAATCAAAGTCTGACTTCATCTTGTTCCTCCGTTGTTCATGAAGTGAAACTAAAACGTTTGTCTCTTCACCCAAACTGCAGAGGATGAAGTAAATCTTTGCTCGCAGGTTTTCTGATATTTCCAGCACGGTGGCGCTCGGCGTGTCGACAGGAAGCGACGAACCTCCGGCGTCCCGATGGAAACGAGTCAGCAGCGGCTTTCTGGGATCTGAAACATAAAAACGACAAAACGTGTAAAAATCAAGAGTAAAGTGAAGATCCGTTTCATTTAATGTGCTGTGCAAAAGATGCAGAGCAGCAGAGTCGAAGCGCTCAGGATTTCTCTGCTGGAGGAAACAAATGTTTTCACTCGTGCTTTAGATTCATTTCTCTGGGAATTAAAGGTGAAACAAACAAAAACTGGACGCTGTAAACTTTTCTGAAACCAGTTCTCGTTTGTCCTTTTTCTTCCAGTCATCCAGACTTTCCTGTCATCTTCAGCTCAGATCAACACAGCTAGAGTTTTTCACTGACCTTTGACCTCAATCAGACAGAAAAATGCTCCTAACTCAAGGGATGAACCAGAGTTATGTCAGCACTTAACAAAGACCCAGTTTTACATTTTATGCTCATCGTTATCAGACAAAAACACACAAAGTACGACTTTGTCAAAAAATAAGACTTAAGCTCCAACAGTGTGTTTTTAAAACAAAATCAAACTTTTAGGCCTAATCAGCAAAAAATCAGCATCTGGAAGTAACAAAACCAGATGATGGAGGGTTTCAGTTAATAAGTGAAAAAAAGCAGCTAAACTTTGGCTCATAAGAAACTAGAGGCTGAAACCTTTGGATCGTACCCAAAACAACCAAAACAAATATTTTAAAGAGAACATCTCGCAGCGGGCGGAGGATTCTCTCTTGGGTTTGAACGTCTACAGGCTGACCTTGAATCCCTCCGTGCTGGGTTCGAAGGACCCCCAGCTCCTCCTCCTCCTCCCTCCACAGCTGCAGCAGGAAGCTGGGGGCCGTTAGACCGTCGGCGTCCCTCCAGCTCAGGATCTGAGGCCGAGAGTCCGGGTTGTCACAAAGACCCAGCAGGGCAGAGAGCACGATGCTGCAGACGCACCGAGGGCCCGTCTGTCAGGACAAACCAACCGTTTGGATTCAGACTTCCAGCGAGTTTAACCGGACAATCTCTGACAGCAAACACTTATTCAGAGCAACAAAATGTTTGTTCATCACACAAAAGTTTGACGGCAGGATCCTGACACTTACTCTGAGTAAATCCAGCAGGAGAGAGACGCCGTTTTTAACTAAAAAGTAAAATTCTGTGGAGAAACAGCCAACAATGCAGGACCTGGTGGGAGAAACAAACAAGATCATTGTCTGGCTGTTATTCATTGGATGGAGGACGTGCACGTTTGTTCACAGCTGGACCAACCACACGCAGTCGACAGTGGAAAGAATGAGCTTGTTGTGTCCCAATCCACTGTAGAAGTTCTCTGAGCCTTTCTTCAGGAAGTTAACGACCATCTGAGCTCCATCTGAACCAAACAGATCCTGCAGAACAGCAGCATGAGTTACACAAAGCAGCTGTTTACACCAGCGCTGCCTAAAAGATGACATCATGATCTGTGGTGAGAGCAGGGAACAGGTGGAAGAGAACGTGGAGAGGTGGAGGTATGCACTTGAAAGAAGAGGAATGAAAGTCAGTCGTAGTAAGACAGAGTCCATGTGTGTGGATGAGAGGGAGGAGGTGGAACAGTGAGGCTACAAGGAGCAGAGGTCACAAAGGTGCAGGACTTCAAGGACTTGGGGTCCACTGTCCAGGAACATGGGGAGTGTGGTAAAGAGGAGAAGAAGAGAGTCCAGACAGGATGGAGTGATGGAGGAAAGTTTCAGGAGTGATTTGAGACAAAAAGGTGTCAGCAAAGATCAAAGGAAAAGTTTACAAGACAGTGGTGAGACCACCTATGTTGTCTGGTCTGGAGACAGAGACATGGACAAAAAGACAGGAGACAGAACTGGAAGTGTCAGAAATTAAGATGTTGAGGTTCTTCTTAGGAGAGACAAGGATGGAGAAGATCAGGAATGAGATCATCAGAGGTACAGCACAGGTTGAACACCTGGGAGATAAAGTCAGAGAGGACACACTGAGATGGTTTGGACATGTCCAGAGGAGGGACAGTGGTTTGGACATGTCATTTAGAGAGGACATGGAGGGAGAGATGTTTTGACTTCAACCACAGCCCTGCAGGCTCCATGTGAGGAGCCTTTCTTCTGTAAACTCCTCACAACATGGTAAAGTTCTTGGTTTGTCTCTGCATGTGCTGCGTCCACTCCTCCATCATGTACATGAAGGGACAGCTGTCCACTGTGTGAACATCCTGTCGGTCGTGCTCGTGTCTGCCCCACCTTGGTGTGTGTGTCTGTCTCACAGAGCGCTGAAAGGACCAGCTGAACATCAGACATCATCTCCACGCTGAGCACATCCTCCTCATCAGAACTTGCTTCCAACTGAATCAAAATCCCTGAAGGGGGGGGGGGGGGGGGACAGCAGAGCTCTGAATAAATTTGCACATCTACAGGAAGTGTTTGTGACTGATTTTCAACTGAAGCTACCCAGAAGTTGTCTGGTTGCTCCCTGATCACAGAGATCCTGGTTTACAGACGGGTCGCCCAGAGACGTCACCGACCTCAGAGTTCTGATACAACGTCTCATCTGAGCCTTGGTGCCTCCTCCTCCTCCTCCTCCTCCTGTTGAAGAAGAGGCAGCGACGTGTTAGTTACAGCAAAACACAAGATGAAAGAGGAGCAGAGTGACCGACCCGCTCCGACGCAGAGGTCCAGCAGGAGCAGCAGGCAGTTGTTTCCCTGACAGGACATGTAGTCGGCCAACAGGAAGGGAGCGATGCTGCTGAGGGCGGCCAGCGCCTGCAGCTGCAGCTCCTCCTGCTGAGATGGACCCGGCTGACGCTCAGCTGAGACCAAGGGCAGCTTCACCAGCTTCAGCAGAAACATCATGACCTGCTCCTCCCTGTAGAGCTGGAGGAAGAGAAGCCTGACTCCCCGCTCCGATTCACCGAGAGGTCCTGACTGAGTGACTGACCTGCAGCGCAGCGCCGTCTCTGCACAACACAACCAACAGACTCAACAGCAGCTTCTTCATCTTCACATCTTCATCACTGAAGGTGAGTTTGTGAGCTGAAGAGCTACTCACTGAAACATAAACAGAGACCGTTCTGTTCAGAAAGGTGCATTTTATTTTTATTTAAACTGTATTTTTTAACAAATGTTCAGTCTTACACTTGAAGAAACTCAGAAGCTCTTTAGCAAAAAAACTCTCCTGAAAATCAGAAACATGTTTTCAGGAGGAGCTCAGGTGTGCAGCTCGTCATAGACCTGCTGGTCCTGTACTCACAACAAGCAGAGAGCTGGAGCGTTCAGCCACGAAACACGTGATCACAAGCAGGTAATTTCTGGGCCGGAGGTCAGAACGTTGGGAAGAGTTCTCCAGCAGGAACAAAAATGTTTCTTTCAGAGATCTGACAAAACAAAAAGCTTTTCTAGAGGACGGGAGGTTTATGGTTTGAGTTTAGCGTCGAACGACCGGCATGCCGTCACCTACAGGACACACTCCATGCTGCTGAGCTGAGCGATGACCTCCTCTGTGCTGCCTCCCTCCAGCAGGTTCCAGAGGATTTCAGCAGAGCAGAGCAGAACCTGACCGGACGGGTCGGGCTCGTTCATGTGGAGACAGATCGTCTCGGCTCCTCTTTCTTGCAGAATTGAAGCACAGCTCCGGTCTGTTGTTGCAGAGTGGAACAAACAGTGTTACAACACACGAGTATTATTAAAACAGATCACAACGGTCTGTTCCTCACCAGAGGAGCTGGAGAGGATCTGAAGTGTTTGCAGGAGCTGCAGCCTGACGGCCGGCTGGTTCTGCACAGCAGCCATGGAGAGGAGCAGGGTTCTGGGGACGTCGCTGTGGTCCAGCTGCTGCAGACGGAAACCTGGAGAGACGTGCTGAAGCCCTGCAGAGACACAACAAAACTCAGCAATAACAACACGCAACTGAAAAGAAACACTCTCTCTATATATCTATATCTATGTATATCTATATATATATATATATAAATATATATCTATCTATATATATATATATATATATATATATATATGT